GGCATATATTTACTTGTCATTAGTGATAGCTCCACCCCATGATTCTGGAATGTTATAAAAACCTCGACAAATCAGCTACACACTACATGCAACTCAAAACATGTTCTTTGTACTCAGTGGATCAGGTTTTCATTAAAGCTAAGCTTCATTACCTTGAACTCATTTCAAGTAGTAAGAATACTATGAAAACTAGAGAAAATGGCATTATAAAAAAAAGTGGTCTCTTGAGGATTAATCATCTGGATAAACACACTCTTAAGTTCAGAAGTGTTTCATTGTACAATTTACTAGAGCAGTCTCCATGGATACTTGCAGCTGAGACAAGCAGGAATAAAAAGTTAGGGTTGATCTCCACAATATCATGCCCCTTTCAGATGTCTGCTAGACTAGCGAAACAGAAACTACACAACACCGAGAAGACCGTGCTTATACCAGGGCAGCTTCAGGCCCCACCTTCAGGGTCAAAGCAGCCACACTGAATCCTGTACAAAAAGTTGTGCTCCTAACCACACTGAGCCCTCCATCAAACTCGTATGGGCAGTGGGTCTTGGTCACCTGGGATCTCCATCTCGACACTGCTGTGCCTACAGCCTGTGTGAGAAGGTAAAATGGAAGCCATGCCTCCTTCTGGCAACAGCCCCTCTGTCTGGGGATTCAGTGCTCCTAAGGCAGCAGCAACTTCCTACTTCCTCCTGGCTGAATCACTCCCCTCTTCCAGGTTTCTCTTCTCACAGCCTGGGGAGCCAACCCTTGCTCCTGCACAGTTTTACTGCCAGTCACAAGTAAGGAGGCCTCCCCTGAATTTGAACCAAAACATGATCTGCGAGTGCTGGGAGCACCCCAACTCCCCACCCACAGGAAGGCTCCACTTCAACCCCAAGCATCAGGCCTTCTCTGGATAGGAAGCAACGAGCCACTTGCCACTTGCCTTCTGCATGATCCCCTTTTCGTAGTAGTAGCGCAGGGAACGGCTGAGCTTGTCATAGTTCATGGCGGGTCGGTTCTTCTGGATTCCCCAGCGGCGAGCGACCTGGAAGGAGAGGAGATGGCAGTGAAGACCCAGCAGTAGCTCCAAAGGCTGTGCAGAAGTCAGACAGTACTGAGAGGGTGACGTCCCAAAGACCTGGGAGGTCAGCACCCCTCGACAGGCACCAACCCAGGCACCAGAAACAGGTTGCTAGCCCACCTAAATGCTGCACGCATCCACTGCCTGCTCTCACCTCTCCAGTGCTCTCCAAGGGCCACGGCTATGGGAAGCGGGACTAGGCCCACAAACAAACTGCCCTTACATTACAGCACAAGGAAACCATAGCGACCTTGTGACCAAGAGGCAAAAGGCTCAGGATGCTGTTAACCAGCCCCCTCTCGCCCCTGCCTGAGAAGTAGTTTTCATACTACCTACAAGTGGCTGACCAAATCAACAGCCATTAGCCCTGTGGTTTCTGCTGCAGTCAATAAAGAATCATTAGAGTGGTCAGCTCTGAAACCTTAGATGAGCACCCCCTCCGCCCCCCACCACTTGCAAGTTGCTCCTGAGCTGCAAGCACACCAACTTATTTCTAACAGCTTCCCGCAGCAGCCGGAAAAGCTTGACTCAATTTCAGTTCCCATCGGGAGCAGGAATCCAAAGACATAAGCCTGCTGCCAGCCAATCCACCGCTTCCCAGGGGACCTTTGGCACCAGCAATAAGCCATGCAGCGCCATTACCCACTCAGAGGGAGATTGATGGGATTGCTTAGCACTAAGTGCTTGAAGCCAAGCTCTGGCCACCAGAGGCATTATGACGGTGGAGAAATGTCAGAGGCCCAGGGCAGCCATCAGAGCCACACATGCAGTTTTAGAGCTGTCCAGGGAACACAGCAGACAGTGGGGCAGCTCAGCTCTCCCAGGGTGCTCCAGGTGGAAAGCCTGCTTTTACCTGCCAATGTCAGCCATAGAATAAACCAGTGAGAAGTGTGCATCTAGCATGGTCCCTTCTGCCATATCCAAACCCCACCACGGGCACCCTGTAGCCACGCAAAGGTTTAACAGGAAAATGGGTCCAGCCTTCTACCGGCTCCTCCCATCCTCACCCGCACAAGATGGGGAAACCATCTCTTGCTGCCCACGCACCAGGCTAATCTAATGGACTGCAGTAGCATATGGCAGGTCATGAATGGCGTGTGCCCCTGGTGGCCGGACCTGCACTGGCGGTGGCGGAAGCGCAGCAGCAGTAAGCACGGAGCTCCTGCAGATGCCACTGGCACTGTCGGCAGCTGCAGGGGGGCGACATGAGCACCAACCAGGGGTCGGCGACCACCCACAAGCGCCAACACCAGTAGGGTGGTGAGTGGCGACCACCTGCAGGCGCTGCTGACAGTGTTGGCATAGCCTTTTACTAGGGGGTGCACCGCCACACTCAGGGCGTGCACATGCACCCACATGTACCCCCCTTATGCGTCACCCCTGTGGCAGACTGACTTCTTCCATGACATCTTGACAGCAAAGATTCAGGCGCAAGTGACAGAAGAGGAAGCTACAGCCATTGCCCCCTGCTTGCCCCATCTAGCTACAGCCATGACAACACATGCTGCCCAAGGAGCACCAAACCCCTCAGCCTGGTTCTGTGAGTGGGTCTGCAACAGAAGCGTGTTCTAGGGCATGCTGCAATGCTGTCGCACGCTCTCCATCACCGCTTATCCGTGCAAGGACGAGCCGGTGCATTACACATGGCAGCCCTGTAGCTATGGTTACACAATCAGCTCTGGGCACAGGGGCTTCACTGACACAGGAGGCCCCAGAAGAGCTCCTTTGCCTCTTCTGTGTGACAGTACATACTGATGGGTCCTGGACACACGCTTGCTGCTGGCCAGGTGCTCACTTTGGGGGACCAGCAGGGCTCAAGGGCCTGCTCCAAGCACCTAGAGAGCAGAGAGGCTTGCCTTCCCTACCACACCTCCCCATGCCCTGGGGAGATGTCAGGAATCCAGGGTGAGGAGGCAGTCATCTCTCCTCCTCCCTCAGCAACCACATCCCAAGGACCAGCCCTCCTCCTTCAGCCCAGCTCGGCCACATGCATTCCTCCCCCCTCCCCGAATCCATTCCTCTCAAAAGGCAACAAATGCAGATTCACAGCGAAAGCATTTCCAGATGAAAGTGCAGCCTGTCATAATTCAGAGACTGCTAAACTGGAGGACTATCAAAAGACATTTGATTAGGGAGCTGGCCAAAAAAGCCGTTTGAAAAACCACAATTTCCATGCACGGCGTAATAGATATTATGGATAATTACCCACCATGCACCACTCCGCTCTGCAGCTGGTTTCAATTACTCCTCAAACGGCTTCTTCCTCTGCGTCACCCTACAAGCTCGCCGTGACACCCCTTACGAGTACTGCAGAGGGTCAGTTATGAAACCCAGTACCTCCGTGGCAATCCTGGGACACAGCCCAAACCACAGTGGAAACTAACAGAGGAGGCTCCTCGTGGATGTGGGCTGACAGTGATGCATCTGACCAGCTTCTGCCTGTTAACAGAAGGCAGCTACGAGCAGCAGAGAAAGACTGCATGCTAGAGACATGGAACCATGCTCCAAGTTATGCAGGGACATTTCTGCGCTGTTTGGGAGATAGCACGGCAAGGCCCAAAGGGCTCCCCAAGGACAGGCTGGGACTGTAAGCAGATGGCCCAGAGGCTGGGCTTTAGGCTTAGTGCGTGGCCCTGCTGAGAAGGATTGATGGGAGAAGGTTTGATGCATAGCTGTCACACAGGGCCCACAGCCGGGCTTCCCTGCAGTCACTGGGCCAGTGCTACAGCCCCAAGGCAGCTGTGGCAAAGCAACGAAGAGCCCTGGCTGCAAACCAGGATGAATCCATACAGGCCGCAGAGGAGCGGCTTCCACAAGAGACTGCTCTCTTACAAAGGCAAAGAGCATCTCCCAGCCTGGGGCACACAGCCTGCATTGCAGGTAGGAAAACTGTAATTTGACACTGCCCAGGGGCTTTGTGGGGGGAAGGAGGAGCGGGCATCCTCCTCACCACGTTGCCGAGAAGAGTAGAACCAGTGCATGCGTGTGCGTCACTCAGGAAGGCAGAACGCAACTACTCCAGCTGCTTCAGTGAAGACTGAGCACTAGCTTTTCACCTTTAAAACCACCTCATCTGGCAGACAGACTCTACTGACTTCAGGGCACGAAGGCTGGCAGGACACACCAGTGCCACCCTCTCACTGCCTCTGGCAGCTGTGGTGGTGCAACCTGTCCTGGCAACTGCTGAGATCCCTTCAGAAAACTACTGTAGCCCTGGCTGTTGGAGTGAGGCCTTCATGCCGCTCCTGTTATATACCACCACGTGGCAGCAGCACCGGCCCACGTCAGCTGGCACTCTTGGGCCTACTCTTCACCTCACTCAACTCAGGGGTGACTCAAACCCACTAGGGACTGCTGAAAGGTCACAATGAACCATTTCACTGCTGGACGATGCTGCCCAAGGGCCAAACCCAACCATCAATCTCACCCCACAGGCCTGCCAGGCTGCCTCAATGGCAGAAATGCAGCTTCCCATCCCCCCCTAGTCTGCCAGTGTGAAGCAGGCCTTGCTGCCAGCCTCACCCAATTCAACTTCTCTCACAACTTCTCCAGCTGTGGTGATGTATGACACTACCTGGGCTGCTGCTGGGCCCCAGGCACTGACATGTGACTGACTACACAGACATGTAGCGAGGCAGCCACATACTGCTTCTGCACCTCACAGTGGTCCCACGCCCCTTGACCTCGACAACTAGCCCAGCCAAACTCAGCATCTTCCACCGGGGAGATTTACTTCTGCTCAGTTACAGGTAAGCAGCCAGTCATACAGGAGAAGGCAAGATCCAGAGGGTTATTTCCAGTCAAGGGTTTACCCACCCAGACTCAACCCCGGACAAGGCCTTTGGCTGCTCCCCGCCTGTGGCACCCTGACCACTGAAGGGAGGCGAGGCTGCCTGGAAACCAAGGCCTTCACGATACAGCAAGAAACTAAGCAGCGCTTGCAAAAGCAGGCAGTGCTGGGGAGTCCTGCCATTAGGTCTGTACCTCTTCAGGCTCAATCAGCTTGAACTCCATGCCCCTGCCCGTCCAGGCGATGAAGTGGGCATTGGCTGGGTCATCTAGGAGTGTGACCAGGAACTGCCAGAGCTGCAGAGACCCTCGTCTCTGGTACGGGGGCCCCTCCCGATAGATGGTGGGCTCCTGCTTCACTTTGCCTGCACAGGTCAAGACAGTTTGTTAGGTCACATGCCTCCAGTGCTGTACTCAGCCAGGCCACCCCGGCTCTAGCCCCTCTAAACCCTGGTGGCCTGCCACCACTGGA